CTCCACTGGTGCCCCGCCAGCGTAAACCGTTAGCGCAGGCGGGTGCATCATTCCATTATCATTCATAAAAAAAAACTATATATTCAACCAGAACAATACTGTCGAACAATACTTAAGTTAGTGAATATGGATGGACAGTTGGATGGATGTTTGTTAGTCTTTCACGCAGAAACTACTGAACGGATTTTAATGAAATTTTACAGTAATATAGCTTATACATCAGAATATGTATAAAGCTAAAGAATATAGGCTATAATTTAAAAATATATGTAAATTGGGCGAAATCTAAATATATATACATAACTCAAAGGTGACTGACTGACTGACATAGTAATCTATCAACGCACAGCCCAAACCACTGGACGGATCGGGCTGAAATTTGACATGCAGGTAGATGTTATGACGTAGGCATCCGCTAAGAAAGGATTTTGATTAATTCTACCCCCAAGGGCATAAAACAGGGGATGAAACTTTGTCAATTTTAAATCGATCGGGCTGAGACTTTGCATATATAAAGCTACTATGACGTAGGCATCTCCTAAGAAAGAATTTTCCTATATTCCACCCCTTAGGGGATAAATTAACGCGAGCGAAGCCGCGGGCAAAAGCTAGTATAATGATAAATATCAAGTGAATGTGATGCAGATGAAGGTGCGTGGATCAGCTAGTATATAATAATTTGACATATGGTTAATAATATTTTATATGAATACATATATTTTTTATTCCTTTCTGATATAACATATAACTACATAACTTGGTGACACACAAGCTATAGCGTCATTAGTTCGGGATCCGTATACAGGTATAGTTTGCAGTAATATTTAATATCATATTAAAAGTAGTATATATTTTTAATTTTGTTTTAAACACTTCAATAATGTTGAATACTGGCCTAAATATTATTTTTGTAAACGTGTTCAACAGTGGAAATAACATATGGTTTATTATTTAAAAAAAAAAATAAAAAAATATACCTGAACAGTTAACACAGCGCCATCTAGTCCCATGGTACGCAAACCTTGTGTTATGGGTACTAGACAACTGATATAAATACTTAGATATTTTTGGTAAATACTTACTATACATAGAGAACACCCAGGCCGATACAAACAATCATACTCATGGATACAAATGTTTGCGTGCGAGGAATCGAACCCACAACCATCTGAAAAAGCAGTGTGCTAAATCGCTAGACCACCGAGGCTGTCAAAATAAACAATACATATGTATTACCATTATATACTTGCTTGTCTATATACGAGTTCCCGATCTAAGTGCTAACACCTAACACAAATGTTTGTACCCGACGCGTTTGTAAACACCTTAAACATACGGTACCCTGAGCAATACACTTTTGGCCGCCGACTGATCTACTTCCATCACTCGCAAACATCAAATATATGACAGCCAAGTTTGTCGAAATAAATTAAATAAAAAAAAATATATTGATTTTCTCTATTTCACAGATGTAGAATAAAATATTTGCAACTAAAAGATTAAAGTGAGAGAAACATATTATATAAGTACGTTTTATATAAGTCAATTAAATTAACCACGCCGTCTTAATCATTATCGAAATACTTTTAAAATTATTTATTCTTCTGTGTAAATTTAAAACTTTAAAGGGAAAAATAATTAAAATAAATAAAAAAAAAACTTTAAAAGAATGTAAGTAATGTACATTTTGAATAGTGCCATTTTTCTATTTAACCGACTATATTTACATATATACATTCATTATTATATATATTTTGATATGTGAACAAAAAACTTTGTACACCTTTGTTCAAAAATTTGACAGACAGAGAGTATAAAATTTCGCACACTTATTGTTTATATAGAGAAGGATAGCATAATGAAAAAAAAATATTAATGCATAAAAAACACACACAAAATTTAAAAAATCACTACATACATTATCATGTATGGTTGTATGTACACACGCGTAGATGTATAGTCTTTGACAATGGTAAATAATGTTAAAAAAAACATTAGGGTCCAATTTTAACCACTATATGACTTGGTAGCCGTATATCAAATATATATACCAAAATTGGAGTGTCTGTTTGTAATATTGAAATAACCATTTTTTACTACATGCATATTAATATAAATACGGTACAGACACCAAAATAACATTTTTTACAATTTTTGTCTGTCTGTCTGTTTGTTCCGGCTAATCTCTGAAATGGCTGGACCTATTTTGACGAGACATTTTTTTGGCAGGTAATAAGGAGTATCTTAGGCTACTTTTATTTTAGAAAAATAAAGTTCGTGGGATCAGCTAGTCATATATAAGAATAGTTTGCGAGTGATTTCAGTACGTACATAATTTCTAATCTTTAATTATATTACATATATTTATCTATATAAAGAAAAATAGACTTTGTTATTTTTAGCATACGCTACAGTTTGCTGTATTACGTTAAGATGTATTTTATACGTAGCATATTTAGTAAACATTTGGCATTTCTTTTTATAGAATCAACTGTATATATACTAAAGAAATAACTGAAATTAATAGTTTTTTTTATTTGTGTCTCCACAACGGTTGAAAAACTTTTAAATATGATACGTATAGAAAAACAGATTGCATATATTTATATATATATATAATCTAAGTCTACCATTACTAAACAATAGTAATATTAAATTCCACTCTGCATAATATTTAATATACTGTAATTTTTAATAATTTCTAGATCAATTCTATATTTGTATAAATCATTGCATTCTACTGCCAACACTGTTTTAATTTAGGCAAAATAGCTAGTATCTAGTTCCATTGTATTTTTTTTTCTTTACTATACTACACCGAATATTAAAAAGAGAAAGAACAGATTCTATTATGAGAAAAGTAACTGTAGTATCACTGAACCGTATTGAGATGTTCAATCACTATTGTAAGCAGTATTCTAGGTTAGATATACGAGATAGGGCCACTCCTACACCTTCTACAGGATAAACAACGCGGCCAAAGTCGCTGCAGAATGCTACGCGTTCTAGCAACTCCGGCAATGGCGCTGCTAGGTGCACCGTGTGGTTTTTTAATGGGTAAATCCCACACACTACTCCTCACACCTCTGGAGATCTCTATCTCTATCTTTTGAACATTTATCCATTCGATAAAAAAAGACAAGTATGTAAATATACACAAAGTTATGGTCATTATGCTTGGGTTATAACCAATAAGTGTAGACTGTTATAAACTGTTATATAGCAGGCCTTAAAACAATTCAATACAAGTTCCGTAAGGCAAGAACAAATGCCTCAAACTGCTGTCAAACTTAATGGAATAATATGTAAAAGGACTTATAGTCCATACGCTGTGGCATGGTGCAAGTGACTTTCAATATTTGAATGTATTTACATTAGTGTAATATTAGATTTTTATGATTAATTTAGATTAATATAATATTACAACTGTCACCATTTCCTACAAATAATATATCTTATATATAAAATTCTCGTGTCACAGTTTTCGTTCCCATACTCCTCCGAAACGGCTTGACCGATTCTCATGATTTTATGAGCGTATTGAGTAGGTCTGAGAATCGGCCAACATCTATTTTTCATCATCTAAATATTAGGGTAGTCCACCCCTAATATTTTTTTTTATTTTAAGGCAAAACAACGTTTGCCGGGACAGCTAGTATATTTTATATTATATAAAATCTTCGTAAATGACTTTTATTTTAGTAACTTGCTTTACTGTCACACACCATGCCATAACGCATTGAGTGTAAGTCCTTCTTAACTCATTAATGGCTGTTTTTTTACGTTATAACATAGTGGCGCCATCTTTAATAAGTTTTTTGTAGCTTACTAAGAGACTAATGTTTTTAATTTTTGTTTAACTACTTTGATTGTTAATAAAAATATCATTCACATATATTTTTACAGCAGTATTGCTTTATAAAACCCTGACATAACTCATAACCTATAAATTGCATTGGCAAATAAAATTACAGTGTTGCAATCTACATAAATATTTGTATTATCAGATCGTATCCAATCGTCACTAACAATGATTAATTTCTATAATATATTTAGTTTAAAAAATAGAAGAAATATATTGTAGGTAATTTAAACTAAGATTTATTGTTCTTAGATATTATTTAACTATATTTTTTCTCTAATAATTAACAGATCGTGTCCGAGACAACATAAAGATTTAGACTTCAGATCTGTTTAAAAAATCACAATTGGCATACTAAAAATTTGCCACCCCTTGCCATTTTTGAAAATGGTATGAAATTAGGTATAAATCATCATATTAAATATTCTTTTAAATCACGTAACTTATTTTGTAAAGATTTTTATTATTATTTAGAGAATTTCTTGCGAAAGATTTATATCTCTATAGGACAAAGCTATATTGTATTTAATAGTAATTTATTAATAATTATAGTTAAGCTATGATATCCGCTTACTAAGGCGGGACGTATGCTACATTACCACATTTGTTTTGTGGCAATAAAGACATTGAGAGGAAATGTAATAGTATCTAATGACGTTCTTAAATATGTAGTAATATATGTATAAATATTTCATATATTCAATTACTGTGTCAGTTTTCAAAAAGTATTATTTTTTGTCCACATTTGCACCCAATTTGAGACTGGTCATATATATTCGAGATATATTATTATATTTAGAATATAATTTTCATTTGTTTCACTATGGGGTCGTTCAAGTATTACGTAAGCACTTTACTTTGCTTATTTTGGATGACATGGGGTGTAGGGGAGTCTAGATGAAGATTACGTCATCGGTAGTTCTTTACTTATTTACAGTAATGGCAACCCTCACATTGTCTTTGCTAAAAAACAATAAATTAATTGTAAAATGTTTATGTAAACATTGGGGGAGGGGGTAAGAGCTTTGCTTACTTTTGTTTACAAGAGGAATGGGGTGAGGGGGGGGGGTAAATAATTGTAATAAATCTGCTTACATAATACTTGAACGGCCCTTGTTATTTTTAATAAATAATGTAATTATTAGGTGATAATTACTTTATCATATATTTTAAATCTGAATATTAGCAATAGACAGAAACGTCGGTTCATATATAATGGTGAACCACGTCATCAATAGTAGCGTAGCCAAAAACAAACTAATGCTGACGCTTAGCTGTATAGTGGTGGCGACGGTGCCGTAGGTGGCGAAGTTGACGAGTGTGACGACTGTGGCGACAGTGGCGGGGGTGGCGACAGTGGCGGGTTCGGCGCGGGCGCCGATGGCGGCCATCACCGCGATGGACAGGAACTCGCAGCCGACTTGCCACTCAGGCATGAGAACCCACTCGTACCGGACTGCAAGCTCGACATCGAACCCCTGCACATACGCAACAAGGTAATATTACATTACTGTTTTCTATAATGTACATGACGAAATATAAGTTGAAATTGCGACATGTGTGAAAACATTGTTTGTTTGTTTGTAATACTTTATTGTACAATAATATTATATATAAAAGGACACAATTGACTTTGTTATTATATATTTAAAATGACGACCTCTGTGATTTAACGGTTTAACACACTTTCAATTGTCAAGTGTTCGATTCCTCTCACGGTACAAACATTTGTATTTATGAGTATAATTGATGTTTTCTAATATATTATGTATTTGCAAAAAAATGTATCTGAGTATATCTATCAGTTATCTAGTTCCCATAACACAAGTTCCACTTAACTTGGTACTAGATGGCGCTGTTTGAATTGTTCAGAGATATTATTATTAAATATTATATTTTTATATATTCCACATATTTTATAACACAGGTGACAAACGAGCATGCGGCTCACCTGATGGTAAGTGAATACCGCCGCCCATGAGCACCCGCAACACCAGGGGAATTGCAAGTACGTTGTCGGCCTTTTAAAAAGGAATAAGCTCTTTTCTTGAAGGTTTCAATATCGTATCGGTTCGGAAATACCATTGCTGGAAGGTGATTCCACAATGTGGTTGTGCGTGGCAAAAAGTTTCTAGAAAACCGCACTGTGGAGGACCGCCATTCATCCAGATGATCAGGATGGTATTTTAAACAAAGTCATAATTGCACAGGTTACCTATTTGAAGGAGAGAAGTAGGAAATAGTTATCCTATTCGAAATTATGTACTACGTCTTGTCGACCATCAAATGCTCATGCCTCAAAATACAAATTGTGAATACCTGGTAAATTCGCCACGTTAGACTATCTGACCTTACTTCAGCCTCATCCTACCAACCCCCACTGCTATACCAGCATAGTATTCTATTACTACTATACAATATATTCATTTTATGGTAAGATTCTATAATAAACTGCCAGAATCTACGCTAAATCTTACAGAGAGGCAATTCAAATTTTATATTAAACAAATGTTATGTAGAAAAGCCTATTATAGGATAGATGAATTAATAGATAATAGCAATATATAGCAAGTATAAGTTTATTTGCGGACAACGTTATAATTTATTTTTCATACTGCTTTCTTGATATATGATAGCGTAGCGGCTTTTGTATTGATTGCCGCATGCATCCTCATGTAAAGTGCGAATACTGTAACTACCATATAGTAATTTTTGTAGCTGTGACGTGGTCGAGTGGAATGAGTAGTCATGCTCACTGAAATGTCCAGATATGTGGCGGCGTGGTGGGCCGGGTCTTTGGGCTCCCTAAAATATGGTCGAGCGCAGTGATGGCTGGCTCATCCGTCATACTCGTGAAGGAGTGCTGCTTGTAGGGACTGGTCTGCTCTTATCACTACGACTGATTTATTTTATTGCATATTTATATTTGACCCAAAAATTAGTGCTTGTTGGTAGTTTGTATTCACACATTTCGACTTGTAAATGTAAACTTACAAGTATTATTTAAAAGAGCAACACACAAGTTTCTTGCTCGTTCTTCTTGTGATGAGACAGCTTTCCGAACGAGTGGTAGATAAATAACAAATTGTTGTGACTATTCAAAAGTTCTTCAATTAAGTTTAATCGAATAAATGATTTTCTATTCTATTCTATTCATTCAATACAATAATCCAATAGAATCTACCACCTTCTTTCTTTTCTTCTCTATCCAAAGGTTGTCTGGATGAGATCGCTTAAGCGATAAGACCGCCTCTTGTATCTACAGACTCTACAAATTTTCTTTGTATTTTTTTTCAGGAGCTGTTGAAGATATATATAAACAAATATAAAACAAAAATGTTATTAATCTGTATTCTGTAATATTCTGGAGTCTGTAGACACTTTCTTTCTGTTGTTAAGTTAGTGTATGTTGATATAAACATTTTGTTGAGGAGAATAAAAATATGTTTGTTTTTTGAAGGTTATGTTTTTGAGAAAGAATCCTTCAGGATTATTGCAGTTCAGTATATATAAATAGTCATGTTGCCCTTATTATTATTTTTTTAAGCCATAGGTATCACATACAGAGTAAAATAAAATATATTTCCGAACCGATATCATATTGATACCAAGAAAGACGAGAAGATAAGAAAAAGTATAAAACGGATCTTAAAAAGACGGCAACGCACTTGCGATTACCCTGGTGTTGCGGGTGCCTATGGGCGGAGGTAATCACTTACCATCAGGTGAGCCCGAGCTTGTTTGTCCCCTATGCTATATAAAAAGGAATCACGTACTTGTAATGGTGGCTGGCGAGAGTCTCGTGGAAGTAGACCAGCTGTGCAGCGCGGTGCGTGGTGTCCAGGAGTTCGGAGCGCCATTGCAGCACGTAGCTGCCGCACTCCATCATCACGTGGGAGCCCTGCGAGATTCAACGTCATCATGTGAGATATTCGTGAAAATATTGCCATTTTGTAGATATACCAAGAAAAACATAACGACTGTTATCACATATTAGGTAGCTCAAAGGGTATTGTTAATTGTCAATGTTGTGGTGAACGCAATAGTTGACAGGCCCACATGTGGCTTGGTTTATTTGAATTCAATGTGGGAAATGGAAACCCTACTGCCGTTTCTCGAATGAATTTTTGGTTTTGATATCGCTATTCCCTTTACTGGAGAAAGTCAGAAGTTAGAATTGACAAATGGTGATGGTAGATTAGTGACAGTATAATATTCTTTACCTACGAACGAGAAAGAGAACTCTAAATAAAACTCTGTGGTAGCAATAATCTAATATCAGGAGATAGTGGTGACCCTTATGCCGCGCCGCAGTGTACGGTGGGCTGGTCCCTGTATACTCTTCACGTCGTGGCACACGAGGGTGGGCTCCACGCGGTGGTAGTGGTGTCCCTCGCGCCGCAGTGTACGGTGGGCTGGTCCCTGTATACTCTTCGCGTCGTGGCACACGAGGGTGGGCTCCACGCGGTGGTAGTGGTGTCCCTCGCGCCGCAGTGTACGGTGGGCTGGTACCTGTATACTCTCGCCGTCGTGGCACACGAGGGTGGGCTCCACGCGGTGGTAGTGGTGTCCCTCGCGCCGCAGTGTACGGTGGGCTGGTACCTGTATACTCTCGCCGTCGTGGCACACGAGGGTGGGCTCCACGCGGTGGTAGTGGTGTCCCTTGCGCCGCAGTGTACGGTGGGCTGGTACCTGTATACTCTCGCCGTCGTGGCACACGAGGGTGGGCTCCACGCGGTGGTAGTGGTGACCCTCGCGCCAGCCGCGCTGCTCCAGCACCGAGTGTGCTCCGGCCGCGTCCTCGCCGCCGCCGGACACGCTCACGCATAGACCTACCATCATTGCAATATTTTTATGTAACTAATAACGTACCACTTTTGATATAGTATATCTATCTGTCTTTATAATTGTTATAATTCCAGGAATTAACGGCTGAATTGATCTTAACCTCGTGACGTGTCGAATGGTCGAGCTCTTGCTCGCTGCTAGATTTTTGCTAATAAAGGAGTCTACATATCCACATACCCCTCCGATCGATCCCCCGTCCAATTCAAACGGGGAACGATATTACGACAGCCTGAGCCGACGTTCGAACCCCTAGTGGTGCCCTGAGACTAAAGTCGTATCTGTCAGGCGGGAGTTTGCCTTCAGCCGCTCCATAAGTCCTTCCGCGGGTTTGGTGCCATCTGCACTCGCCCCCTAGCTTCGGCCAACAGCATTAGAATATTCCGAAAAAAAAATATCCACATATATATACCTATATATATATACCTATATATATATATACCTATATATATATATACCTATATATATATATATATATATATATAGCATACGCTGGTGATCACTCTATTCTCCCAAATTTGAATTTAAATGAATCTGTAAAATTGTCAGTTCTTCTCATCTCAAAATCATTCCGAACTGACTGTAGATTTGACATAACATAAGTCTGTAATAGATCTACATGAATAAAGATATTTTGAATTCGAATACGATGAAGATATTTGTTTTATTATAACCTACACTGTGCACTAACTTTCCATTAGCTCACCTGAGTTGACGTCGTCTCGTGTCGGATGGTCCAGCTCTTGTTCGCTACGGTACACGGTGAACGCAATATCGTGCCTGAGCACGTCGAAGTCCCACGTGAGCACGCTCTGCGGGTCCCGGTTCACCACTATCACCTCGTGGAACTGCCCCACAACAAATGTATAGTTATTTTTTTATTATAATGATGAGTTCAATAGTTTTAAGTTTTGTATTAATACATGAAGCAAAAACTTTGTATCCTTTTTTAGGCAAATTGCTTATTATATAAATGAAGGAGGAGTATGAAATTTCGCACATATAACATTATAAATGCGACAGTTTGTGAGTATGGATCTGGATATATGGATATGGATCTGGAGTCTTACTCTTCTACGCAAAAACTATTAAATGGATTTTGAAGAAACTTTACAATATATCTTATACATCAGAATAACACAGAGGCTATAATTTTAAAAGATATTATGTAAATTGTACGTCATACGTCATACTCGTGAACGGGTGCTGCTTGTGGGGACTGGTCTGTTCAGGTTGTGAACACTGATTAAATTTTTTGTTCTTTGCGATAGCATATGCTGGTGGTCACTCTATTCTCTCAATTTTGAATTTTAATGACTGTGTATTATTATAAACATTTTCCACTATTATTTGAAAAGAATACGAGCTGAGTTTCCTGTCAGTTCTTCTCATCTCGAAATCATTTCGAACTGACGGTAGATGTGACATATCATAAGAGTCTGTAATAGACCTACATGAATAAAGATATTTAGAATTTGAATTTGAATTGGGTGAAATGTAATGATAAATGTCAAAGAAAGTGAGATGCAGACGAAGTTCTGTTCTGGTCAGCTAGTAGTTTATATAGAGATCCAGCTACCCACCCCGGCTTCGCACGAGTGTACATGTATTATAAATATAAACCTTCCTGATTAAACACTATTCAGGTCTAGCACACCGCTTTACGTCCGATGGTCGCGGGTTCGATTCCTCGCACGGCACAAACATTTGTATTCATGAGTACGATTGTTTGTATCGGTCTGGGTGTTTTCTATGTATAATAAGTATGTATGTATGATTTTACGAAAAAAAAATATCTATGTACTTGTATCAGTTGTCTAGGACCCATAACACAAGCTTTAGCTAGCTTAACTTAGGTCTAGATGGCGCTGTGTGAATTGTCCTGAGATTATTATTATTATTATTTGTTTAAAAATTAATTTTATTTCAATTCAAATGTACAATGTTCGATTGCATTTTCACGACAACGAAATCAACAACGGTTGCCTAGCAACGATAACTAAGCGCTATATGGTTTGTTTAAACATTTCCTCTATCTATTAAAAAACCGCTTCAAAATCCGTTGTGTAGTTTTAAAGATTTAAGCATACATAAGGACAGACAGTGACAGCGACTTTATTTTATCCTATTATATTAAAAAATTAAATAATAATAAAGAAAGAAAGAAAGAAAGAAAGAAAGAAAGAAAGAAAGAAAGAAAGAAAGAAAGAAAGAAAGAAAGAAAGAAAGAAAGAAAGAAAGAAAGAAAGAAAGAAAGAAAGAAAGAAAGAAAGAAAGAAAGAAAGAAAGAAAGAAAGAAAGAAAGAAAGAAAGAAAAATAAAATCCACTGCGCAGCCCACGAATTATGATGAAATAAAAGTGAAACAAAAGTAAATATAATAAAATAACTAAATTGAAATAAAAATGGAAAAATTGTTGCCGATCCTGCGGGAGGGCAATTCGTTCGTCGATTGGAAATTCAGACTAACGATGCTTTTAGAAGAAAAAGAAGTTATTCATACAGTTGATAAAAATCACAATGGTGAGAATGACATATATTTTAAAAAGAGTAACAATACAGCAAAATTTTTAATGGTGCAGTGTATATCCGATAAATATTTAGAAATTATAAGAAACTGTAGTACGGCATTAGAAATGATTACCGCTTTGGAAAGACAATTTGAAAGGAAAAGTATTTTTAATAAATTACATTTAAAAAGAAAACTTATCACATTAAAATGTACATCAGATACAAATTTGCAAGATTTCTTCATGACATTCGATAGATCAATAACAGAACTAAACGGAATAGGCAGTACTTTACAAGAAGAAGATAAGATATGCTACCTATTATCCGCTATGCCTTCGAATTATGACACAATTATTACTTCAATAGAAACAATGTCATTAGAAAATAAAATAAACATAGATTTCGTCAAAGCAAGATTACTAGATGCAGAAATTAAGTACAAAACTAAAGAACAGACAGATATACTTTCAGAACAAATCTTCTGCTACTATACACGTGGAAAAAGAGGTCATAAGTCATTTCAATGTAAGAAAAATCAACAAGAATAGTATAATAAAAAAGACGACTGCGAATAAAATGGTGTTTCCTTATTTGCCCTGTGCATAAATAAAATCCCAATAGATGTAATGAAGTGCGGAATACATGTAGTCGTCACCTCTATACATGAACAGCAATACAGCCATCACGTTATCACGACCGTTATACCACTCATGTCATTCGAGAGAACTAATATAAGTACTACATGATCATATTACCTCGCGTTGCATAGCGCACCTACTGCACGTCCCTGCTAGGTCAGTCTTGTACTTAAAGCCCAATTTACATCAGCCCGAGTGCGCAGGGAAGTGAGCATCGCGACAGTGTAAACACGATACTCCCCATGCCATTGGCGCTGCCACTTGCGCTGCCCGGCGCTCTTTCGATTGTCGGTTTTTCGGCAAAGGACTGGCAGCGCGAGTGGCAGCGTGTTTTTACATTCAGCCCTCTCGCTGCGTTGTCGCCCGGCGTTGTATGCGGAAGGCAAGGAAGAGTCGCCCGGTAAATAAGTATGAGGGCCGAGTATAAACGACACTCGCGTCGACGCTGACGCGGCAATATTTCCGGCAGGGCGAGTGGCAGGGGAAGCGGCTGAATGTAAACGTACATAATGTAATGTAGGAATACCGTATTACATCCGTGATAAAGACTCCTGCGTTTTAATTTTATGAACTCACATACACCACATCCGAACACGCTCTAGACAATCTATACTACTCATATACTTTTAACATAAAACTGCGAAACCTCTTATCCTGTAACTAGCTTTTGCCCGCGGCGTCGCTCGCGTTAATTTATCCTCTTAAGGGGGAAATTCATCAAAATCCTTTCTTAGAGGATGCCTACGTCATAGTAGCTTTATGCATGCAAAGTCTCAGCCCGATCGGTTTGAAATTGTCAAAGTTTCATACAAACTTTCATCCCCTATTTTATCCCTTTGGGGGTAGAATTAATCAAAATCCTTTCTTAGCGGATGCCTACGTCATAACAGCTACCTGCATGCCAAATTTCAGCCCGATCCATCCAGTGGTTTGGGCTGTGCGTTGATAGATCACTACGTCAGTCACCTTTGAGTTATATATATTTAGATATCACTCTAATCTCCACAATACAACCTATAAACATCACTCACCTGTCCCTTCCCTAGACTGACACATCGGTACACGCTATCCTCGCTGAGAGGATCGCCATCCCGCTCTGTGAACACGCCTGCTACGTACAAATTCTTCGGTACCAATCCACCTTCATGGACGAAGCTCTGAAAAGTTAAAAAGTTCAGTTAGCATAGGAATTAAATGTGAGTACATTTAATTCCAATTTTAATGAATTTGCTACTGATTGCCTAGTTGAGGAATTAAATAAGTACAAATATGAGGATAATGAATTTGCTACTGAATGCCTAGTTGAGGAATTAAATAAGTATAAATATGAGGATAATGAATTTGCTACTGATTGCCTAGTGGAGGAATTAAATAAGTATAAATATGAGGATAATGAATTTGCTACTGATTGCCTAGTTGAGGAATTAAAGAAGTACAAATATGAGGATAATGAATTTGCTACTGATTGCCTAGTTATTAAATAAGTACAAATATGAGTTTAATGAATTTGCTACTGATTGCCTAGTTGTGGAATGAAATAAGTATATATATGAGTTTAATGAATTTGCTACTGATTGCCTAGTTGAGGAATTAAATAAATATAAATATGAGTTTAATGAATTTGCTACTGATTGCCTAGTTGAGGAATTAAAGAAGTACAAATATGAGGATAATGAATTTGCTACTGATTGCCTAGTTGAGGAATTAAATAAGTATAAATATGAGTTTAATGAATTTGCTACTGATTGCCTAGTTGAGGAATTAAATAAATATAAATATGAGTTTAATGAATTTGCTACTGATTGCCTAGTTGAGGAATTAAAGAAGTACAAATATGAGGATAATGAATTTGCTACTGATTGCCTAGTTGAGGAATTAAAGAAGTACAAATATGAGGATAATGAATTTGCTACTGATTGCCTAGTTGAGGAATTAAATAAGTACAAATATGAGTTTAATGAATTTGCTACTGATTGCCTAGTTGTGGAATGAAATAAGTATATATATGAGTTTAATGAATTTGCTACTGATTGCCTAGTTGAGGAATTAAATAAATATAAATATGAGTTTAATGAATTTGCTACTGATTGCCTAGTTGAGGAATTAAAGAAGTACAAATATGAGGATAATGAATTTGCTACTGATTGCCTAGTTGAGGAATTAAATAAGTATAAATATGAGTTTAATGAATTTGCTACTGATTGCCTAGTTGAGGAATTAAATAAATATAAATATGAGTTTAATGAATTTGCTACTGATTGCCTAGTTGTGGAATGAAATAAGTATAAATAAGACAGGGTGTGTGAACAACACACCGGTAACAAACCTAGTAATTTTGACAACTGATATACTTACATCAGTAAAAATGTATATATATATATATATACAATTGACCAACGTATAGTGAATTTAGAACGGACAAACAATTTTTTTTTAATTATCGCAGTAGCTCGCCTAAATACCAAAAATGTTTATATAGCAACATTGTGAATGAATCGATCGTGAAGATTGTTTTAAAACATGTACATGGCAACAATTACATGTGTTATAGACATTTCGTCTAAGTTATAATGTATTTTAATATACGTATAATTAGTAGAAATCACGGGATCTTAACACGTTTTATATTTATATGCTGAGTTCCAGTTTACCCGTGATCATGGTGGTCGAAACACTGCCGAAATATCGGGAACTTAGCAAATAAATATAAAACGTGGTAAGATCCCGTGATTTTTACTAATTATACGTATATATAATGACCGCGTCAAATTTAAAACAGTATATTTTAATATAGCAACATTGTGAATGAATAGAACGTGAAAGTTTTATAATGGCATATACATGGCAACAATTATATAGTTGTAACATTATACGTGTTATTTTATAAATATTTCATCTAAGTTATAATGTATTTTAATATAGCAACATTGTGAACGTGAAGATAGACATGTACATGGCAACAATTTGACATAGTTGTAACATTACATGACTGTGTTATGTTATAGACATTATTCGACTAAATACACAAATATTGAGCTATCAATATAGTGATCTGTGCTTCGAACTTGTTCAAATCGTATTTGTTTTACATTTTAAACGGGACCAATTATCTTGAGGCGCGTATAATAAAAGTAAATCTGCAAATCCATATTTAAAATATTCGTAACTAAAGCCAAGAATAAATTAATATTATAATGCATAACATAAAAGATATATTGACTTTATATATTGGAGATAGTTATAGTTATATATATTATTAGTTATTTGTTCGTGAGCATCTATCATATTTTAATTTTAAAAGTAATAAAACACTAAAAAACCAACTAGCACTGCCAGAACCCAAAACAGAAATGTTTAGGGCAGGTATACTATCGATCTATACTAATTTATAACAAAATCCTGGAAAGCATAAAATAAAAAGAAATTAATTGATTTGAAATTTACAGTAATATAAGCTTATATATCAGAATAACTAATAAGCTACAAATGTTACGCGAGTAAAACCTCGCACAGATAGTATGATATAATATAGATTTTTTTTTATCAACTTTTCCCCTAAAAATGTTATCTACCTAATAATTTACTTTTTTAAAACACACAGACTATTTTCTGTTTCAACAAAATGATTGTAACAAGTTCGATGGACGAACATGGGACCGCAGCACATTGTGTGACCGACGTTATTGAGTACAGGTGTACTAAACATTCATATATTGAAGTCTCAGGGCGTACGTAATCGTAATATTGTTGTGGCACGTACAACGACGCATCGACAATGTCCGTCTGCCGTAAATAACAATAGAAACAAATTAAAACAATTAAAATTAACATTACACTATAATTACTAATAAATATAGAAGCCCTGTGGTCTAGCGCCATTAAGCCACACCGCTTTACGTTCGATGGTCGTGAGTGCACAAATTAAAATATTAAAATTAATATTATACTATAGTTACTGATGAATATAGATGTCCTCTGTGGTTTAGCGGTTAGGCACACCGCTTTACATTCGGTGGTCGCGAGTTCGATTCCTCGCACGGCACAACTATTAGTATTCATGTTTGTATTATAGTATTATATATGTATGTATTTACTAAAAAATATATCTATGTATTTGTATCAGTTATCTAGTACCCATAACATAAGCTTTAGCCAGCTTACTCGGGTCTAGATGGCGCTGTGTGAATTGTCCTGAGGTTATTATTATTACATTTGTTTGTTCAGGGTGTTTTCTACGTATGTAATGTATGTATGTATTTATAAAAAAAATTATTCTCTTCAGTCAGTTTTCTTTCTTCTTACCTTGGGACTAGATTGCGTTGTGTGAATTATCCTGGTATATTATTATTATTTTTAAATTAATTATATTTATTCATCCATAATAAATGAAATCTACCGTCAGTTTCGATTAAAGTTTCTAGTTAAGATGAACTGACAAGAAACTGAGGTCTTACTCGTTTGAAAAATATACATATATAATTACAGATTCAACATATAGTATAAAACTGATGCAAAATCACAAAAATTTGAATAACAGTCGTTTAAAATAGAACTTCTTATAACATTAGCCGTTTCAATTAGTCATAAATGATAAAGTTTTAAAATTGGTTACTGATTAAAAACTTTATTTACTGTCTTTTTCTAATCAGATAACTTTCTTCACTTGTAAAAATGTGACAAAACACTCGTAAGTTGATAAATGTTTATAACTAATTTACCTTTTTACGAAAAAGTATATATTATTTTTAATCGTGAAAAAAAAATTACCTGACTTTATTGATTTAATATAACAACAATAACCTCTCAATTTAGTTGCTAAATTAGCGCGAAATCAATATAATGTTGCAAATTAATTAATGAAGATGACGCGTAATATACGCATAAAGAAACATTTCAGAAGCGTTCGAGAACGTTCCTTTATGATAAGGTGCAAATCCAAATCATCCAAACAAAGACAACTATGAAAGTTGTCTTTGTTTGGATGTTATATACCCGCAAAGACTCTATCATCTCAAAAGGAGCATATAGAAATAGAAATAGAAATCATATTTATTCAAATAAACTTAATATAAGCACTTTTGCATAGTCACATTATTTTATTCTACCGCTCATTCGGAATGCAGACTCATCACAAGAAGAATGAGCAAGAAACTTGTGTGTTGCACTTTTAAATAAATATAGTTTTAGTTTTATTTACATTAACAAGAATTAGGCATGCGACAATCAATATATAATAGAAACCGCTACGCACTTAATTTCTGTTCAATCAGATAACATTGTCAGATTATTTCTATTTCTATACAGCAAAATAACAATAATATTTTTTTTTGTAAAGTAAAAATATTGGGTACAATACTACATAGCCCTTATTTCTAATATTTGTTTATAATAAGCGTACAAATTAAGTTGATTAAACTTTAATTATTAAATTATTGATTGTTTATATTATTATTATTATATTTTTCTTTGTTAAATAGAAAATAATAAAAAAATCTGCTGATACAAATTAAAATTATTATTTTATTCATTGTTTACATTATTATTATGCTTTGTTAAGTCAGTAGAAAATAAAAAAATGGAAGAATAAAATACCTTGCAGGGTCCGCCGAGGAAGTCCGGTATGAGATCCTTGGGTATGTAGTCGAGGAGGCCGCCCGGTTGCAGGTAATCTTTGCCGCCGTAAAACAAAAATTTACTTCTCGTGTTCTCGTCTGAAATATAACAATTAATAATATTAAATTTTTATGTTTAGTTTTAATTATTTATGACATTTTTATTAAATTATTATTTGCACATTTTGACTCACTCGACACTTCCTATGCCACGCTCTATTGGGTTAACATTAGTTGTAATTAATATACTTACAAATATATTTAAGTGCAATAAAGAATATTTATTAATTATTAAACTTAATGTACCTATACGAGGGACTTACCAAAGTAATTACTATTTTTTTTATATATAGCATAGGGTACAAAGACCAAGACACAGCTATATCAAACAGATTAAGGAAAAAATTGGAGTCGTGTCGTATCAATAGCTAAAGGACTCGTGGAAAATGGCAAGAGCTCCACCGACAAGAGCGCGGCTCTTAAATTATTAATGAATGAAGGAAGGAGACAAACGAGTTTGCGGCTCATCTGATTGTAAGGGATTACCGCCTCCCATGAGCCCGCAACACCAGGGGAATTGCAAGTACGTTGTCAGCGTTTTAAGAAGAATACCCTGGGCGCCCTGACAATGAGAACCCGTCCCATGGTCTCCGGGTAGTTGGCTTCCACTAAAGTTACTGGACTCACCAATAAACGTGCTAACAATGGTCCACAATATAGGGAACACCCTGGGCGCCCTGACGATGAGCACCCGTCCCATAGTCTCCGGATAATTCGCCTCCACGATCTGTATGATGCGGAGCAGCGCGCGCACTCCGGGCCGCCACAGGTGGCGCATGTTCAGCCCGTCCAGGTCCACCAGTAGGCACCAGGAGTGGACTGCGTGCTCGGATGAACGTGTCGCCTCTTCTAACAGTTTGAGGCCCTCTTCACATACGTGAAGAGTCTGGAAATTGTAACAAAACATATATTATAATATAAATATATATATCCGGCTCGAAGGACCAGTTTGTTGGTGACTTGTGAAGGATAAGTAAAATATGATGGCGGACCGTAAACTATTATATTTAATACTTGAAGTTATATCACATAGAAACTCTCAGAGGAGCTTCCTCCCGCGTACACTTAGATTGTGGAATGAACTACCTGTCGAGGTTTTCTCGAGAGACTACAGCATGGGGTTTTTCAAGAAGGGTATATTAAGGTTTCTTAAGGGTCGGCAACGCGCATGTGACACCCCTGGCATTTCAGGCGTCCATATGCTACGGTAACCGTTTACCATCAGATGGGCCGTATGCTTGTTTGCCACCTCTGTGGTATAAAAAAAAAAGTAACTTGAACTATTTAATTAACTAAGTACGTATGCGGTGACATCGTAGGCGCAAGGGAAAAGACAGTGGCCTGGCCTGGCGGCTGTCAATCATGTTTGATAACGCTCGTACAATTTAAATATATACATATTTAGAGAGATATATATGTATAAATTGTAGCACGTAGCACGTAAAAAATATTTATTCAATTAAATTGAAGCATTTTTAAATAGTCATCACTTATTTTTTTTAATCTATCACTTACCTATTCTAAAAGCTGTCTCATCACAAGAAGAACGAGGAAAAACTTGCGTGTTGAACTTTTAAATAATTTTATCGTAGTTTTAATTTATAAATTTAAATGCGTGAATACAAACTACCAACTAGAACTAAATAATTAATTATCAAAATAATAAAGACAGAACCAACTAGTAAACTAACTAAATAAGAGTAAATCAGTCGTAGATGTTAGAGCAGACTAGTCCCTACAAGCAGCACTAGTTCACGAATATGACGGATGATCGAGCCACTGCGCTCGACCATTTAAAAAAGCAAACGGAGTTGCGTGTTATAGTTAGTATAATAAATATAACTTACCAACTTTAAGAGGCCATCTTCACCGACTGACTTCAGCAATCCCTTCACATCCATTTGTCCAAGTCGAAGTATGTACAGCGGACGTCCGTCTGCAACCAATAATAGTAATATCTCAGGACAATTCACACAGCGCCATCTAGTGCCAAACTACGCAGAACTTGTGTTGTGTTCTCGTTTGTAACTAACAACTACTGTGGGCGATAAAGGAAACCAGGGAGTTGTAGGATATATATATATATATATTGTATATATTAATATTATAAAGAAACACTACTAACTAGGGCCAGGAAGGGAAACCGAAAAAGAACAATTGATAGCAGTGACAATTCAGAATAGAATTTTGGTATTCGAAATATAAAGCATATAAAATAGTTATAAACAAATAAGTGGCCTGTATTCCACAACTACCAATCTTTATATATAAAAATTACGTGTCACGTTGTTTGTCCGCGATGGACTGTTAAACTAATTGCAAATTTGATTTGCACATTGTGTGCAATTTGATCCAACTTGAAAGATAGGATAGCTTACATCTCAATTTATAGTCGCAGTATTATGTTATTCAAGAATCTATACAGAAGCCACAGCAACGCGTGGCCGGGTCTGCTAGTTAAATATATTAAGTAGTAATTTATTAAATACTAGTTGTACCCGCGACTGCGTACGAGTGGAATTAAACTTTATTTTTCTAAAATAAAAGTAGCCTGAATTACTCATTACATCAGCTACCTGCCAACAAAAGTCCCGTCAAAATCGGTCCAGACATTTCAGAGATTAGCCGGAACAAACAGACAGACAAAAAGTGTAATAAATGTTATTTTGGTGTATGTACCGTATTTATATTCATATGTAAGTAGTAAAAAACGGTTATTTCAATATTACCAACAGACACTCCAATTTTATTTATATGTATAGATGTATAAGTATCTGCAGATTCTGCCAAACTGAAGAGGAAACGCCGCTTCACATCCTATGTGGTTGTAGCCCACTCATGCATAAACGAAATATCTCCTTTGGAAAGTTTACACTCTTTCCCGAGGAGATAAAACGATCGCTCCTAAGAATATCCTTCAATTCTTGTCCCTGACGGGTCTAGGTAGCGAACTCTGAAAAGGGCGAGCACAATAGATCTATGTAGGTCGCAGTGCTACAGGTGCTACACATCTGACATAAGCCCAAACAACCCAATAAAAAAAAATAAAAAAATAGATGTATAGATTATATATTAGGTATATCCTCAAACACACAAGTTTCTTGCTCATTCTTCTTGTGATGAATCTGCATTCCGAATGAGTGGTAGAATCAAAATATGACTATTCAAAAGTGCTTGTAATGAGTTTATTTGAATAAAGATTATTTTTATTTCTATGTCTATTAGTATTCACAAAACTATTATTGGATTAACGTACCCTTGTCATGATGATGCCACCCTCCAGGGAAGTACTGCTTCACCACGTCTGGCGTCTCGTACTCCGACAGGATCCTGTCCACCTGATGCTTCTTCCGCCAGAGCAGCGACTGCGAGAGCATTTCCCTCGCTTTCTCCACATTGAAGTCTCGGGCGCGCAGGAATCTGAGTAGTGTCGTGTCACTTGGAACCTGATAACCATTGAGTATCTTCAATAAATAAATAAATACATGACCCTGGACAATTCACACAGCGCCATCTAGACCCAAGTTGAACTAGCTAGCTAGCTACAGCTTGTATTATGGACACTAGATAACTGATACAAATACATAGATCCAAAGGTTGTCTGTAAGAGATTGCATTAGCGATCTTCTTCTTCTACTTCTTCGTTTCAACGGCAACCAAATACATATATTTAAATATATTTTCCCCAGAACGCCGCGACAACCCTTGCGCACTCCGTCGCATCCCTTAGGTCCCCCCTTGTGCAGACTGCTGGGCACAAAGGACAAGCCAGCAGGTGTGCCATGGTCTGGGATGGCGCTCCACAGTCACAAGCCTACCGTGAAGCGGCACCCCACTTTACCAAGTTGTACCTGCAGCGGCCCATCTGGGTTCGTAGTCTGTTGAGCGATTTCCAAATGGGCCATTGCAGGTCGCTACCTGGGGGCAGGTGTTCGATCGGTTGAATAAAGTCCAAAGGAGCAGGATGATTTAACTTGCATTAGCGATAAGACCGCCTTTTGTACTTAGTTTTTTTTTTTTTGTTTTTAATTGTGTTCATGTCCTTTATATGTTGGTGCAATAAAGTGTTGTAATAATAATATAATAATACATTTTTTTTTCGTAAATACATACATATTACACATAGAAAACACCCAGATCGATACAAACAATCATACTCACGAATACAAATGTTTGTGCGGTGCGAGGAATCGAACCCGCGACCATCGGAAGAAAAGAGGTGTTCTTTACTACTAGAGCACTGAGGCCGTTTTCAGTTTAACTAAACTTTTTTTTTTATTGACATTTTTTTTATTATGTACTTTGAGTGCGTTTGATCGCAATCTGATTTGACACACATCAAATCAGATTCAGATCAGAACGCAAGTGATGATGCGGTCTTAGCTATTACATTAAAGCTCAAATAGTGCCTGATGTCCAGTACCTCTTGATGGAATGTGATAGGAATAGAGTAGAGGGAACTGTTTATTAAAATTTAAAAAATCAACAAATTTGATGTGGGGACTATTCAGAGCATACTACATGCCCCTACTTCTGATATTGCTCTGTGTTTGTGTGCGCTGATAAAAGCAATTTAATAAATAGATCCCCCGCTGTTGGCAATTATTTAATTGATTATTATTTTTAAGAATTCTTCCGATTAGTTTGTAATAATGGGGTTGACATGTCTGAAAACAAAAACCCCAAAATAAATTTAGATTTAAAAAAAAATAGTGCCTATTCACTCTTGACTTGAAACACCTAATATTGTAGGAGGGGAGAGATTGTTATTAATATGGACTAATTATCCCATTGCTTGCAATGTACCATGTCAGCTCGACCTCCACGCGGTTCCTCCTGGAAAACATCGCGGTAAATTCCCGGTGAATTTGTCACGAAATGATCAATTTGGGCTATATGATCTGACCTCATATTCATCTTATCATCCTCCACTGGTGTCCCGCCAGCGTAAACCATTAGCGCAGGCGGGTGCCTCATTTTATTTTCTACGACCATTTTTCACTGAAATAGAGCCTGTTGAAAATCACCTATAAATTTAGAAAAAAATTCTGTTTCCTTAATTTTTGCGAGAAGTGTATCTACCTTTCCCTTCTGCAAGTCAGCGATCAACTTCCTGAGCTGCAGCAGTCTGGACTCCTGCATGGGAGTCAGCTCGCCGAGGTACCGCTTTATGTAATCGCTGTCTAGTGTGTACTGATCTGTAACAAAGTACCCCCAATGAGCGTCACAATATATATTCAAATTCAAATTCAAATTCAAAATATCTTTATTCATGTAGGTCTATTACAGACTCTTATGATATGTCAAATCTACCGTCAGTTCGGAATGATTTCGAGATGAGAAGAACTGACAAGAAACTAAGCTCGTATTTTGTTTTTTTAATGTTGTACATATTTACAATAATACTATTTCATTTAATATACGAGTATATAAAAAATTGGTCCAGTGGTTTAGACGTGAAAACGTAACGTACAGTCGATTACTTTTCCAGTTATGAAATTTATTTATTTATTATTACCTGTACCTGCGATACATTTCAATAACAAATATAGACTACTAGCTGTACCCGCGACTTCGTCCGCGTAAATAATGAAAAAATATTTAACACAATATAAGTCAAATAAATAAGTTTCATCGTTTTAGCTTCAAAAATGATAAAAAGTAAAAATAAATATTTAATCAATAGGCTAAAAAATAAATTTCAAGCTTCTAGCTTTAAACATGACGATACATCTATATAACCTTGGATCTACCCTTTCAATCCTCTTGCAACCCTTTTTCACATTAAAAAGTAACCTATGTCCTTTCTCAGGATCTGGTCTATCTATGTCTGTTTCAAATTTCAATTTAAATCGGTTCAGTGTAAGCGAGACAAACAGACAAAGTTACTTTCACATTTATAATATCAGTAAGGTATTTAATAAACTAACCCTAAAAAGACAAAGAAAAAAGTTTAATCGTTCTAGCTTCCACAACCACACAAACAGCAAATTTCCACAATAACTTTCATTCTCTATTTTATTTTACTACCCCCCCTCCCCCTAAGAGTAAAAATTTTACAAACATTGAATGTCATATTTATTGATATTTAAACAACAGCCTAAAAATGAGTCTCAAACTTCTAGTTTTAAAAAATGACGATTCTTCCATACAGCGTACCAATGCAACCCCCTTACAATCCTTTTTTCACATTCAAAAGTACCCTATATTCTTTGTCCGGGTGTAAACTAACTGTGTACCAAATTTCATTTAAATTTTTATTTTGTTTTGGAGCGTAAGACTGACAGAAAGACAAACAGAGTTACTTTCACAGTTATAACATTAGTGGGGTATTTAAAAATCTACCCCAAAAGAACCAATGAAAATAGTTTCATCGTTCTAGTTTCAAAAATTACGAATTTACATAATAACTATCATCCCCTATTTTATTTTACCCCCTTAAGGGTATTTTTTTTACAAACAATGAATGTCATATTTATTTATATTTAATCAACAGCCTCAAAAATAAGTTTCAAGCTTCTAGCTTCAAAAATGACGATTTTACATAAAAACTTGCATCCCCTATTTTATTTTACCCCCTTAAGGGTATTTTTTTTACAAACAATGAATGTCATATGTATTTATATTTAATCAACAGTCTCAACAATAAGATTCAAGCTTCTAGCTTCAAAAATGACGTGTTTACATAAAAACTTGCATCCCCTATTTTATTTTACCCCCTTAAGGGTAATTTTTTTACAAACAATGAATGTCATATGTATTTATATTTAATCAACAGCCTCAAAAATAAGTTTCAAGCTTCTAGCTTCAAAAATGACGATTTTACATAAAAACTTGCATCCCCTATTTTATTTTACCCCCTTAAGGGTATTTTTTTTTACAAACAATGAATGTCATATGTATTTATATTTAATCAACAGTCTCAACAATAAGATTCAAGCTTCTAGCTTCAAAAATGACGTGTTTACATAAAAACTTGCATCCCCTATTTTATTTTACCCCCTTAAGGGTAATTTTTTTACAAACAATGAATGTCATATGTATTTATATTTAATCAACAGTCTCAACAATAAGATTCAAACTTCTAGCTTCAAAAATGACGTGTTTACATAAAAACTTGTATCCCCTATTTTATTTTACCCCCTTAAGGGTATTTTTTTTTACAAACAATGAATGTCATATGTATTTATATTTAATCAACAGTCTCAACAATAAGTTTAAGCTTCTAGCTTCAAAAATTACGAATTTACATAATAACTATCATCCCCTATTTTATTTTACCCCCTTAAGGGTATTTTTTTTACAAACAATGAATGTCATATTTATTTATATTTAATTAATCAACAGCCTCAAAAATAAGTTTCAAGCTCCTAGCTTCAAAAATGACGATTTTACATAAAAACTTGCATCCCCTATTTTATTTTACCCCCTTAAGGGTATTTTTTTTACAAACAATGAATGTCATATGTATTTATATTTAATCAACAGTCTCAACAATAAGATTCAAGCTTCTAGCTTCAAAAATGACGTGTTTACATAAAAACTTGCATCCCCTATTTTATTTTACCCCCTTAAGGGTAATTTTTTTACAAACAATGAATGTCATATGTATTTATATTTAATCAACAGCCTCAAAAATAAGTTTCAAGCTTCTAGCTTCAAAAATGACGATTTTACATAAAAACTTGCATCCCCTATTTTATTTTACCCCCTTAAGGGTATTTTTTTTACAAACAATGAATGTCATATGTATTTATATTTAATCAACAGTCTCAACAATAAGATTCAAGCTTCTAGCTTCAAAAATGACGAATTTACATAATAACTTGCATCCCCTATTTTATTTTACCCCCTTAAGGGTAATTTTTTTACAAACAATGAATGTAATATGTATTTATATTTAATCAACAGTCTCAAAAATAAGTTTCAAGCTTCTAGCTTCAAAAATGACGATTCTTCCATACAATCTTTCATCCCCCCTTTTAACCCCTTACAACCCTTTTTTCGCATTAAAAAGTAGCCTATGTCCGTTCTCAGGGTCTAGACTATCTGTATACCAAATTTCATTCAAATCGGTTCAGTAGTTTTGGCGTGAAAGCGAGACAGAAAGACAGAGTTACTTTCACATTTATAATATTAGTTTTTGTCGCAGCACAAAAATATATTTTTATCGTTTCCGTACAAATAATATTTTTACAGTATTAATCTACAAACCAACATTTTGTTTCTTACAATCAGCTAAATAATTTAAATAGTTCCATAATATATGGCACAATGAAAAGGTCATTTATTTTATAAAAAAGACAGTTAGTTTTTATTTTAGTGAAAAATAAGAAAATTCTATTTTGATACAACAACCATATATTTATTAATACCTATATTTTATTAATTTTGTGTTAATGCTTTTTAAATAAACACCCACGCATTATTTCTGTATAACCTACAAAAATGGGTAAATAATTTAATTTCGCATAGTGCCACACCACAACATTCTTTAAAAAATGTAAATAATAAAATGTGAAGAAATTGTGATTGTTATTAATTTTTTTTTTAAGTTTGTCAGAACAGGGAAGCAACATTTGACATTTATTATTATTTAACATTGGACATTGACTTTAATTTTTGTAATTTATATTGTAAAATTTTAAGTTGGGCTAAACTGGGCTTGTATCCAGAGCCGTAAAACAAATTAATAAAAAAAATCGCCAAATTTGTCTCGCAATCGGCCAATTTCAGGTTTAAAGAAAAAACACACACACGATATACGATTTTATCATAAAAAAGTGTCAAAAAACAATATTTTCACTGAACGTCAACGTCATGTTTCCGGCAAGATCTTTCGTTTTACATTATGTTATCTGTGGTTTTGTTCTCTGTGATGGATACCTCATTGGCGCAAACGCACGCGATGTGTTGATTGGTTGTTAGCTAGTGAAATGAAAAGATGGCGAATGGCGCAAACGCACGCGATGTGTTGATTGGTTGTTAGCTAGTGAAATGAAAAGATGACGAATAAGGATTCAACCGCATAAAGATAACCTTGTATTTCCATTTTGAACCCCTTACAACCCTTTTTACGCATTAAAAAGTAGCCTATGTCCTTCCTCTGCGTCTAGACTATCTGCGTACTAAATTTCATTTAAATCGGTTCAGTAGTTTTGGCGTGAAAGCGAGACAGACAGACAGACAGACAGACAGAGTTACTTTCGCATTTATAATATTAGTAAGGATGTGTTATTCTGATGTGAGAGCTATATTACTGTAAAGTTTCATCAAAATCCGTTAGTTTTTGCGTGAAAGAGTAACAAACATACATCACAAACTTTCGCGTTTATAATATTTATATTCTACTAGCTGTTCCCGCGACTTCGTCCGCGTGTAATTTAACTTTATTTTTCTAAAATAAAAGTAGCCTTGTTACTCCTTATTACATCAGCTACCGGCCAAAAAAAGTCCCGTCAAAATCGGTCCAGCCATTTCAGAGGTTAGCCGGGACAAACAGACAAAAATTGTAAAAAATGTTATTTTGGTGTATGTACCCTATTTATAATCATATGCATATAGTAAAAAACGGTTACATCAATATTACAAACAGACACTCCAATTTTATTTATATGTATAGATATACTAAAACTAACACAATTAATATAGCTAATTCGGTTCATATTAACAATGTTACTAATTATTAAATTTTAGATTACATTAAACCTCCGCTTTTTGAAAGTTTGCTGAATGTATGGCTCTTGTATGATTAACTCCCAAGTTTTAACAAGCAAGGTTAACCAAGAGTAATTTAATAAAGTTTCCTCGGGTACCCTTCAAACTTAAGTTATCGAGTGTTGAAACTACCCTTTAAACTGGCACCGAAGGGGGGCAACCCTGACCTGAGGACTTCCAAGACTTGCAAGAACTGCGTCGAGAATCATGTAATTAGCTGGTACATATATATCTTATTAATTACTCTTGCACGCAAAAACTATTGAACGGATTTTGATGAAATTTAACAGTAATATAGCTAGAGATACATCAGAATAACATATAGGCTATAAATTTCCCGCGGGCATAGCTAGTAATAATATAACTGTTTATTGGATATAGAAAAATGTTTACAAAAAAACTTTACATAAATGTGCTAAACAAAAGGCGGCCCAGCGGCGATTCTGAGGAGATTTTGTTATTGTTGAAAACTATTTTTATA